GGCTGGGTTTAGAGCTGTGGACACCCCCCCCCCCCCAAAGGACACAGTAAAAATCAGTGATGACCAAATTCACTCCGTGAACTAGCTGGAACTTTCAGTTTCTGCAGAGGTAAGTCAGCCTTCTGAGGAAGAATGAGGAAACAGGGAGAGGCTCAGCCCCAGTCAGAGGTGTGGAAGTTGCAAAAAGCAGGAAAGGGTAGGAGGATTTGCTACCTGGCACTTACTCAAGTCTGGCTCCTCCTCTGGCCAACTGGAAGGCTGCCTTCCTGAACCTTCCAAAGGGTCTAAGTCAGCTCCGGCGGAGAAGCCAGACCTCAAGGGGCCAGCGAAGGGCTTACTACATAGTAAGATCTCACTGCTCCAAAGAGCTCAGGAATCCCTCTGCCCTGTGCATTCAGCTTTTAGAGGCCATGTTGGCGATTGTTCAGGTCTCTTACTGTGAGAGAATGGATGAAATAATTTGTGCAGAGAGACTACGGTTTGTCATAAGCCAAGAGAAAGGTCTAAGGTTTAAAGGGCGCTGACCGGTCTTTGTCGCTAACCACTTCCACATGATCGAAACACACTACTGCCCCCACCCACGCTTGCCCACAGCTGTCACGTCCAACTTTGCCATTGGTCACTCTGCAGTTCCTTTTGGGTTCCTTTCCTTTATCACCAGGAAGAGCAACACCACACATCAGTTCAACAACACCCAGTGGGTTGTTCTCAGTACTGTTTCTCAAGTGTCCTCAGGTATCTTTTACACTGATCCCTTTTTCTGTCACTATGATAAAATACTCTGACAAAAGCAATTTAGGCCCATTGGTGGAACATGCCTTTAATTCCAGCAAGGAGGGAGAGGCTGAGTTCAAGGCCAGCCGGGCTACACAGTGAGTTCTAGGACAGCCAGAGCTACATAGAGACCCTGTCTCAAAAACTAACAAAGAAAGCAGTTTAGGGAAGGAAAGGATTTCTTTGGCTCACAGAGTTTGTCATCCATGTGGCAGGGACAGAAAGGCAGCAGGAGCTCAATGTCAATGGTCACATGAATGACACCCACCATCAAGGACATGAACACTGGTGCTCAACTCCCTTCCTCTCAAGCAACCCAAGAGCCATGACCAGGGAATGGTGCTGTCCTCTGTTAGTGTGGGTCTTCCCACCTCAGTCAACCTGGTCAGCCCAAGAGCCATGACCAGGGAATGGTGCTGTCCTCTGTTAGTGTGGGTCTCCCACCTCAGTCAACCTGGTCAGCACCATCCCTCACAGGCGCTCCTGGAAGATTGTCTCCAGGTGGCAGCAGGTCCCATCAAGTTGACATCACAAGTGACTTGTTTGTATTTGTTTCTCATGGCAGTGGCATTTGAAATAGTTCAGATTGAAGAAAGAAGGAAAAAATAGCTTTCACTCAAAATGGGAAGAGGTTGTTTATTCTGGATCCAAATAGCCTGGGAACACTGATTGAGATTACCCCAAACTCTATGTTCCAATGTGATAAGCTTCATCAAGTTTTTATAGTCACAAAGCAAACACAGTCATAAACCAACACATTTTTCAAATACATCGGTGGATGTAACAAGGAGATTGGCAGATCCGGCTGGGTTAGCTCTTAAGGGAGAGGGGCATGATATAGATTGTTATTTTTAGGGCAGCAGAATGTTGGTTCCCCACCAAGGCCAGAGGCAGAACTCAGATTCATTTTTTAAAATATATATTTAATAAAAAAAAAGCCAAGTGTGGTGGGGCATGCCTTTAGTCCCAGCACTCAGGAGGCAGAGGCAGGCAGATCTCTGTGAGTTGGAGGCCAGCCTGGTCTGCAGAACAAGTTCCAAGACAACCAGAGCTGCCTCAAAAAAACATATATAAAATTTGGTTTAATTTATTTATATGAATATTTGCCTTAGTGTATGTCTGTGCACACTTACCTGCTTGGTGCCAACAAAGGCCAGAAGAGGGTGTCAGATCCCTTGGAACTGGAGTTACAGGTGGTCATGAGCTCCTGTATGTTTGCTGGACACTGAACTCAGGTTCTCTGCCATAGCAGCCAGTGTTCTTAACCACACATTTCTTATTGTGCCTGGGGGAGATGGAACCTAAAGCTGCTGGTGAGGACAGGGTCTACTAATGCCTGTCTGGCTGCCCAGCCCTTCAACATGTTAACCAAAGCGGGTCCTGCCTGGAGAGCCTGCTGATGTCAGAGAGTGGAGTCTAGGAGTCACTGTCCCAACTGTGGAGTGGAGTGGAGCCCCAAAGTGGACACTGTACAGCAACACGCTGGCGTTGGAAGCCACGCAGTTCACATAAACATAACCAGGACTTAGGAAATATAGTGGAAAAAGCAACCCTGTTAAAGAAACCATAAAATAGGCCTTTAGACAACTAAAAAGAATGTTCAAACTGTTCACTTATTGTTTAAGACTCTAAATGATCACAGTGCAAATGACCACAGGGCGGAAGCCTCTGCTGGAGGACACACTTAGACTTCTTACACTAATTTACTTTCCAGACTCTAGTTTGGATGGCTCCCGAGCACAACCAACATTTCCCACTGTGTGCAAGTAAAGTGAAAGGCTCCTATGTTCACGGATGCATCACTTGTCTTAGGGGCTATGGCCATAGCTGCTCTTGCAGTGGGACCATTCCGTATCCAGCACCTCCAGTTCCAGGGATCTGGCCTCCATGAGCACTGCGCACATACATGACGCAAAGCACTCATATGGATGATAAATACATTTTTTAAATAGTATCTAATGATGTAGTCCTGGCTGTCCTGGAACTCACTACATAGACTAGACTGGCCTTGAACTCATAGATATCCTCCTGTCTGTCTCTATCTCCCTGTGTGCTACCATGCCTGGAAAACTTTTTAAATAAACGTTTCTTAATTTAAAGATGCCATAAGTGGGGGATAGGAAAAGTCTTTAACATGGGCCTAAGGGAAGAAGCGCTCATTCTGAGACAAAGTAGAGAGCCTTCCCTCAGTACACTAGCTTTCCCCGGGACCTCAGGGATTTTTGCTTGGAGTTTTGGTGCCATTGTTGTTCCTTTTTTATTTTTAACTATTGTCTTACTTATGGGTTTTATTGCCTCGATGAAACATCATAACCAAAAAGCAACTTGGGAAGGAAAGATTCACCTTACACTTTCATGTCTCTGGTCTTGCTAAAGGAAGTCAGGACAGGAACTCAAGCAGAACTGGAACCTGAGGCAGGATCTATGCAGAGGCCATGGAGGGACTATGCTCACTGGCTGGCTCTCCCAGCTTGCTCATCCTGCTTTCTTATAGAACCCAGGACCACCAGTCCAGGGATGGCAGCACCCACCATGGGCTGGGCCCTCCCCCACTGATCACTAATTGAGAAAATGCCCTACACCTGGATCTCATGGAGGCCTTTCCTCAGCTGAGGCTCCTTCCTCTCTGACGACTCTAGCTTGTGTCACGTTGACACACAAAGCCAGCCAGTACAAGTGTTAATAGAGATGGATATATGCTCTATCAGAAATATGTTTAATGAGATATTAAATCTGTAATATCTTAAATACATTTTAAATTTTATTTACATGTAAGAGTGTTTTCAGCCCCCACTTCATATCTTTGAAACACGTATGTGATTCCCCACCCAGAGTCCTGGAAGTTTCTACCCTGAGAACAGGCAAGCTTGTAGTTATGAGAAACAAAGGTATCAGTCATATGACTTATTAAACAGACAGAAAGAAATGGTGGCTAATAAGCGACTAGAAGCCTATTATGACCCACAGTTCCAACTTAAAGAGAAAGAGAAAAGCTGGTCATTTTCCACCTACCACCCACCACCCACCCACACCCACAATTACCCCTTATTTCAGTTTTAAATCCTCGAGTGGGAGGCACTTTTCTTCCTAGAAATATAAAGACCAAGGAGTGAGGCCACTGGACAGAACGGTTCCTGCACACAAGGGAAAACCCATTCAGGATTCCCTCTGTGAGCGTGCAAAGCAGCATGCACACCACCCCCAGACACAATCATTGACACCCACAGACTCTTTCCTTCAGCAGAGATTTCAGATGCCGCCAGCAGGTGGCAGGAGTGATCAGCAGCAAAGGCTGAAGCTTTAAAAAGAAAACTGAAGTTCCTCCAGTGAGAAAATCTCGGGGTTCTGGAAGTAGCCAGAAAGAAAAACTGTTGTATGGACAAACAACTGAAGTTTAGAATGATACGGCCTGAAAAGTGTCACACGCAGTTACAAATAAAAAAACAATGACCATGAAACTCCAAGCAGATAAAACCCCGGGGACCAGGGGAAAGTTAGTGTACTGCAGGAAGGCTCTCCCCTTGCTCTCCGAATGAGCTGTGCTTCCCTCGGGTCCCTGTTGAAGTCTTCCCCTCCTATACCCCACTTATTGCATCTTTAAATCAGGGACCCTGATTTTATTCACACGTGTAATTCAGGATCCTGGAACCTGCTGTGTTCAACTTAATGTTAAGGGAAATGTAAGAACCACGAATGCAGAATAGTAGAGTCCCCAGAGGGCTATCGGTGCTCTGTCCTCTTGCCATTCTTTGTATACACACATTTCGTTTCCTCCCTGGCCACTACCAGCCATTCCTGAGATCCCCACCAGAGGCGCCAAACATGTGGGAACAAACAGGGAAATTGGGGTGCCCTCTTGGCATCCTAGTCTCCTTACAAGAATTTCAAGATGGGAGTGTTAGCAGACGCCTTTGATCCTGGCACTCAAGAGACAGAGGCAGGCAGATCTCTGTGAGTTCAAAGTCAGCTTGGGCTATAAAGTAAGTTCCAGGCCAGCCAGGGCCACATAATGTGAACAGATCTGAAAAACACAACAGAGGAGGAGGAAGAAGGGCGGGAGAGAGAGAGGGAGTGAGGGAGGGAGGAAGGGAGGGAGGGAGGGAGGGAGGGAGGGAGAGGGAGACAGGGAGAGAAAGAGAACTATTTAAGAACAGACACTAGGACAGTTTTATTAGAGTTTAAAATTGAAGCCCTGGGACCTGGGACATGGAGCAGTAAATCTTGGCATCTACCCAGGAGAGAGAGAAGCCATGCCAGTTGAGTTTAAGGAAATGGAGATGAGCAGCATTTGGACAAGCAGCCACACTGCAGAGAAGGAAACTTTAGAGGAAGAAACCCAATGTGTTAGGGAAATCATGGCAGAAAAGAGATGGGAAGAAAGGGACGGTTTTGCCTCTCAGAATTACCATACTTAGGAAGCTGCAGGGTTGGAGCTCATGTATAGTGTCCACACTAGGGCCAGGAATTCTGGGAAGGAAAGGTACATTGTCTTAATGGGATAGTTATTTCTCCCATCACTTGAGCGTGACTTAAAGGTGTGTCTGCCTTCCTGAGGGGTGGTCCCTCACCTAGGTGACTGACTTGCCCTAGGTTAGGTCTCCACCCAGGTCCCCTGGTACTGGCTCTGCCATCAGGGTGGAAGATGGGAAGCTGTTGTCATTGCTCAATGTGCAGCGTATGGATCTTTCCCTTCTGAGCAAAACAAAGCAGAATCCATCTGTTTCCTTAGGAGCCCAGGGGTCCCTGGCAGTTCCTCGAATCGGGTGCCTCATGGGAACACCGAAGCTCACCTCCTGCCACATTTCACAACCCTTCCTGGAATCTTCACTGAAGGACAGTTGTGTTTGGGCTCTGACTCCGTATTTTTTCATTCTGCTTTGTTCTCAGGATGAAGACCTTGAAGAGCAGGACTCACCAGGAAACAGCACAGTCAGGAGCAGAGTTTTACAGAGCGGGGAACAAGGAAATGCCAAACAGGTGAGCCTGCAGATGTGGAAGACGACAGTTGAGGAACTGTTGCCATGGTGACACTGCTGCCTGTGAATGGAGTGTGCTTAGTGTGTCTAAGGCAGAGTAGTCCAGAAAGCATACATACCCTAACAACAAGATTTCACTTTTACCGTCTCAGAGTTCCCTGAAAGAGAAAACAGCCCCAGGCAAAAAGCCCAGTCTTGGGCCAGCATGGCAGGTCATCCTTGTAGCCCCAGTTACTCAGAGGGCAGAGGCAGGATCAGGGCCAGCCTGGGGTGAGACCTCCTGGCAGAAAAAGAAAAACACCAGAATGTTAGGGTGAGGGATATGTGAGATGCCCCTCCCTTGTTTCCGTGGAGCCCAAGAGTCCCTCACAGGACTTTAGCTTGTCAAGTCTTTTTGTTTGGAGTTGGGCTTTATTGTTTTTATTTTATTGTTGTTATTTTGGGGTTTTTTTTCTAATTATTGTTTGTTTGGGGGCGACAAGGTCTCATGTGACCCAAGCTAGCTTCAAATTCAGTATGCAAAGGAGGATGACCTTGAACTCCTGGTCCTCTGACTTCACGATTCCCAGTGGTGGGATGACAGGCATGGGCACCCCATCTGGCAAGAAGCTCTGTGTTGTTAGAATTAGGTAGAATTTCTTCTGTTGCTAAAAAAAAAAAAAAAAAAAAAAAAGGTAAGTAAATAATTACTCATGGAGATCACCCTTGAAAAATAATCCTGAGTACCTAAAACTGGAAAAAAATATTGTAGCAAAACTGGAAGATGAAAGTTGGTTTTTCATCCAAGGTGAGAGACTTGGTGTGTCTTGGAACGTAGCGTATGTTTATGCAAATACACCCTTGTGCATGTCGATTTTAGGATCACAGTCTTCATCTTACTTACTACTTATTTAATATATTGTGCAAAGTTTTCGTCAACACGTGTCCCCCAGCAAACAAACTCATCCACATGAAAACCGCCCCCAGATGCTTACAGCAGTTTTTATTCATAATGGGCAAACCTTGGAAGCAGCCAGACACCCATCAGTAAATCTGATAAACGGTGGTCCAGCCAGATAATTCCATGGTTTTCCAGCACTAGAAACAAATGAGGAAGTTATGGAAAAGGTTATGAAAAGACCTAGAGGAGCTGTAAATGCAGAGTGAAAGAGTCGAGTTTAAGACAGGAACACCCCCACACCACACCCAATGGCATCTTCCTAGAAATGGCAAAGCCACAGAGGAGTTAAGGGATAGTGGTTTTCAGGGTTTAGAGAGAAAGTGGGGGTGAGCATCGGGAATTTTACAGCACTAAAGCCATTCTGTACAACACAACAACTGTGAAGGCCCACTGTTATCCATTTATCCAAACATAGATGGAGCCCTCCAGAAAATGACCCTTGTGTCAGTTGGGGTTCTCTACAGGAATAAAACCCACAAAATGAAATAGCCTGATAGGAGAGGTTAAGGATAATTTTGGTGTCCATCTTAATAACAGAAGCATCCCATAGGTGTCAGGTAGCTTGGGACACGTTGACAACAGAACACCATGATCATTTAAATCAAATATTTACCAAGTTATGGGCCAAGCTAGATGTCAGGTAGACTGACAGATAAGGGGCTGGAGAGATGGCTCAGCTGTTAAGAGCACTGGCTGCTCTTGCAGAGAGTACCTGGTTGCCATTTCCAGCACCCACATGACAGCTCACAACCATCAATAACTTCAGTTCCATAGGATCTGACACCCCCTTTTGGCCTCTGTGAGCACTGCATGCATGTGGTGCATACACAGACAGGCAGACATTTCTACACATAAAATAAAAATAAGTAAACCTATCTTTAAAAGAAGACATAAATGGCCGACTGTGGTACCTGGAACTCGGTTGGACCCAGCCTGTCTTCCTGTGGTTCATGCCTTCCTAGTGCCTGAGGACCACTCTGGAAACAAAGGTGACAGGAGGCAGAAGGGGAATACTCCTGGATGAGTTATGTGACCTTGGTGTCTTTCTGGGTCAGAAGTGATCTATCTCCATTTTAAGTGCAGAGGGCAAAAGGCCACTCTGTGTGTGGCAGCGAGCAGAAGCCCCGGTGTTATACTTGCCAGCGTATGTCCAGAGAGAGCCAATGTGCAAATCCAACCAGCTACAGCGGCCAACTGCACCAGCTGGAGACACATTGTGGAATGGAGAGAGGGAGATATTCTGGGAGCAGGATAGGTCATGGATATTTGGGAGAAAGCTCACACTGTTTCCAGAAAAACTGTCCACGGAAAGTGGCTCAGCTGCACGTGACACTTAAGTCATCAGGACGAGGACAACGCTCCTGTGATCCTGAGGGGCGTCTGTCAGCTCTTGAAGGATGAGGCAGCTATTCATATCTGCAAGCCAAACCTTGGTTTGGTTTCAGCACTCCAGCGATGAGCTGGTTCAGTGTAGAGGAGAATTACACAGCCTGGATACTAACTTCATTTAGCCCTTCCTCAAACCAGAGTTGCGTCTGCTGTTGAGTGGTCACAGAAGAAACAAGAACAAGATCAGAAATGCAAGCATGTTCTGCTTTTCTAAAAACAAAAGAGGTGGTGATGGTGTGGGGCGTGTTGCCTGAGGCTCCTCTAGGAGGAGAGGGGTCACATGTGTGATCCTGAGCTTCTTTTGATTATAAGATGTCCGTGCAGTAGATAAGGGGAGTCGTTTCTTGCACAATAATTTTAAAAGGACGGTTGAACATTCTTGCCTGAATGCTGAGCTGAGGAGCCCAGGGTCCATGGTGCCCAGATTCTCATTGTTCTCTCTGCTCCAATGTTTGATCGCCAGGGTGACAGGCAGATCACGATTGAGGAGGAGTCGTCTCCAGGAAACAAAGAAGACGTGGAGGGTGATGACCAGGATGACCATCAAAAAGGGTACAGTTCTTAAGCCAGGGACACAGCACATCTACCCCCTGTGCATTTCTTTCCGTGTGGTGCACTCTGTTTTATTCACTTCTCAATTACTTCACTAGGCCTCATTGGAAACTGTCACCCCACCCCATCACCACTTGGAAAAAAAATTAATGGCCTTTGGGAATGATAGATGCAGTCAGGTCAAAAAGAGGTTGCTTGAGGAACCCAGAGTTTGTTTTTGTGTTTACCCAGGACAGTCTTCTCATTAAAGGTATAAATTACTAACGAATGGCTCCAACCCACACACAAGGAGTCAATTCATCCTCTCCATATCAATCAATAGCAATTGATTTCTTGAAACCCACATTAAATCTCGGGCAACTAGTCCAGGGCCTTGGCTCAGTGGGTAAAGGCACCTGCTCCCAAGCCTGGTGATCTGTCTGCAACCCCCAGGACCTACCTGCTGGAAGGAGAGGACCAACTACTGAAAGTTGTCCTCAGACTTCCACATTTGTTCCGTGTCACACATATACACACAAAATAGAGAAACGGAGTGAAAATTTTTAAACTGTTGCTTTTCTTATCTTGTAGCCTTTAAATCAGTCCAAGTTTTGATAATCACCTCAGACAGGAGAGACAGCAGGTGTAACCTTGAATTTGCCATTACCATCCTCTTGCCTGCTCTCAAATGCTAGGGTTATGGGTGTGAACCACCATTCTCGGTTGAGGCAGTATTATTATCTTAATTTGGATTAGTAAAATGAAGCTTGAAAAAGTAACCTACCCAAAGTTGGTCCACTTGAGAACCTGGTACTTCAGACCTGTACCATAATACGTGGGTCCATTTTCTAAATCCCTATGTAAAATTTTATTTAAATTTCTTTATCTCTAAAGAACTTTTAAATATTTCCCTATTTTTAGTGTAAGTGTGTCTGTGCACTATGTATGTACCTGGTGCCAGTGGAGGCCAGAAGAGGCCATTAGCTCCCTTGAAGCTAGAACGATAGATGGCTGTGAGCCACCGTGTGGGTGGGTGCCAGGAGCCACCCCCAGGTTGTCTTTGGGAGTAGTGTGCTCTCCTCACCACCGAGCATCCAGCTCCTGAGGGACTTTAATTCTTATGCCTCAGGACAATGTCTCCCTCACCAGTTAGAATCAGGGCTGTCAGATCTTGAGACACATGCTCCACCAAGAACATTTGCCAAGCTCCATCCTTCATTTACTCCAGGAGGCTCTGGTCCAGGGGGCTGGACACAGCACTTGAGAAGTCACATGTCCCTGGGCTTCACTGATGCTCATAGCACTGAAGCAATCACCAGTGGGTTGAGAATGGTTCAGCCTGGAGAACCAAACGAATCAAGTGTCCTCTACACCAACAACTTTGCATTATAGGGTCAGATTGCTATAACAAATTACACACGTTCTCTGCCACTGAAAGTCTGATAAAGTCAATGCACAGCGGATGGATGGTCTGTTAAAAGTGGCTCTTTACCAGTACTCAGGACCAGTTTTAAAACAAAACAAACCACTGTCTCCTCCACTGAAGGTAATGCATTATTAGCTTTTCATGAACTAGACCCTGAGAAACTTAGTCTTTACCACACTTTGATTCACCCAGTATCTTCTAGAGTAGCCTTTCAGATTCTCAGCACAGGTTTTCACACGTACTCCTAATCATGAACACTTCCAACAGTAATGGTATCACGTGTGTCTTCTAGTCTGAAGCCCCGCCTTTGCCCTTGCTGTGGTTTATTGGTTATTATATATCTGGTGGTATATAATGGTCACCCGCCCCCATTCTGTCCACAGAGCTTGGCACACTCATCCAATGGTTAATCCATGTTATGGCCAATGTCCATCTAAAACTGATGTTTCATTCCTGCTTTGAGACATGGCTTCAGAAACCTGTTTCCATTGCTTACAAAGCCTAGCCCAGGCTTCGCACCCAGCAATCTCGTGTTTGGGTGTTTACCCTGTGGGTCTTTTGCTTTTATGTTGCAGGTGTTTGGAAAGAAAGTATGATATGATTTGTGAGTTTTGTAGAAAGCACAGGATCATTCTCCGACGCATCATCGGAGGCATTTTATTGACTGGTGAGTACCAAAGGGCTGTGGGAATGCTGTTGTCTGTTTTAAGTGTTACCTTCTGTGTAAAGAGAGAGATCACCCCTTCCCCTGGACCTCACAGACTCACCCAGGGAAGTGGTGAAGTCAATCAACAAGCCCCAGAAGGGAAAGCCTACACAGATTGCTTGCCTGCCTTGTTCATAAAACCAACCAGAAGTTTGGTTTTGTTTTCGTTTTTGGGTTTTTTGTTTTGTTTTGTTTTGTTTTTGAGTCACCTGCCGCCTTAGCCATTTTCTGTTGCTATAACTGGATACTATGGTACTCAATCGCAGAGGTTTCCAGGTCCTGGAACAGAGTCCAGGGGTCAAGGTGCCAGCACTGGTGAGGGCCTCCTACCCCATCATGCCAAGGAGGGAGCTTTGCAGCATGAGATAACACACGTGACCCATGTCTCTATTTCTCTTTGCAAAGCCACTAGTAACATCATGGTGGCTCCACCCTCGGGACCTCATCCAATTCCCGTTACTCTTGAAGGCCCATCTCGGCTACTGTCACTATGTAAATGTGGGGATTAAGTTTCCAACACACAGACTTGAGGGGAATACATTCAAACCACAGCACTATCTTATTGGTGGACTCACAGAGCCCTTGTTATTGTGACAGTTTTACAGGAAGCACATTGGCTAAGGCAAATCCAGAATCCTTAGGCAGCTGGCAGACTTTGCAATGAACGCAAGGTTAAACAACAACAAAAATTAGTTATAGGAATGAACACAGGGTAAAACCCAGGACCTTAGCCCATACTTTAACCTAATGAGAATGCACCTTTTGTTGTTGTTGTTGTTTGTTTGCTTTTTTTGTCTTCCCAAAACAAAAGTCTTCAAAGTTCATTGCCAAAAAACCATTGTCTACAAAATATAAACCTTCTCATGAGCCCATAGGCATTTGTATAAGAATGCTATACTGCCAAAGCCAAGAGTTGTGCTGATGTTCAAACAGCTGGAACAGGAATAGTAAGGGTTGGTTATCTTCCCTCTAGAAGGCCAGAGTTTCTAGGTCTGGCATTTTGTACCTTCAACCTTGCCATTGTAACAAAAATACAACTGCAGACAATAAGTCAGTAGAAAGGCATAGCTGCATTGCAATACGACTTCATTGGAGGGAACAAGTACACACAGCAAATGCCACTGAGTTTGCCACCTTCCTAGTAACAAGTCAGACTTAACCTGTGGGCCATTGTTGGTTGAGGTTTTAGAATAAGAAACTTCTATTTTATTTTATTGAGACAGGGTCTCACTGCATAACCTTTGGAGTCCTGGAACTCATTATGTAGACCAGGCTGGCCTTGAACTCACAGAGATCTGCCTATCTCTGTCTCCCAAGTACTGGGATTAAAGGTGTACACCCACTACACCTAGTATTCTTATCCTGGAACCTGTTCTTTAAATGGAGAAACAATGACCAAGTTTCAGGTTTGAAGAACTGAGAAGGTGCTGTAAAAGAGAAAAAACAGACAACAAACACCATCCTTTCTCCGTCATGGTGAATCTTAGGAACTTGTTTGAAAGAAAAGCAGAAGGCTCAGATAAAGAAGTCTGTACCTGTACCTCTACCTGTAACTGTACCAATGGGTGCTTGATTAAGCCATCCCTCATCTAAGTCAGACCCAGACTTGAAGCCCAGGACCCCTGGTTTGGTAATATTAACCCTGATGTCTGTGTTAGAGGGACACCTAGATATCTAATTAAAATTCAGCCAAGAATACAGGACAATGCAACGTTTTAGTTTTGCAGGGATGGCTTTAGCTCTCTTTCCACCTTGTCCGGTAGAATGAGATCATGATCGGCCTGTAACCATCTGAATTTGCCTCCTGGACAGGTTTCCTGGCTCTGGTGATTGCAGCCTGTGTACTAAACTTCCACAGAGCCCTTCCTCTATTTGTGATCACCGTGGTTACCATCTTCTTTGTTATCTGGGATCACTTGATGGCCAAATATGAGCATCGAATCGATGAGTTCCTATCTCCATGCAGAAGGCTTCTCAACAGGCATTGGTTCTGGCTGAAATGGTAAAAACCAATTTTCCCCTTACTGCAGTGGAGGAATGTTGGCTCTCTCTGACACTGTTGGGAAAATGTATTCTAAAATTCCATCCTCATTTGTGAGATATTGATGCTAGAAATAACCCCGGGAGCAGTTGTCAAATGCCTCCATTTGACAAACAAGAAGTGAAGACCAACCAGGGTCCTGTGGAAGTTATCCAAGTGTGTCAGCAAGCCCCTTGATCCAATGTCCAGAGACCATCTGCTTACCCTGATGTCTGTGTTAGAGGGACACCTAGATATCTAATTAAAATTCAGCCAAGAATACAGGACAATGCAACGTTTTAGTTTTGCAGGGATGGCTTTAGCTCTCTTTCCACCTTGTCCGGTAGAATGAGATCATGATCGGCCTGTAATGTCTGTCTTGCCTGAGGTCAGAGAAGAGCTGCACAGGGCCATCTGTTTGCAGTGCTGATTTAAAGATCGGTTTATAAGTACAAAACAAAAAAGATGGCTAGAAATGTGAGCTTGCATTTTTCAAACCTTTCCCCTTAAGTATATAGTTCTGCATAATCTCATTAAATCCTCTTACAAAACAGAAATCATGGATTACATTCAATCTTGAATATGTTTTATTTCACTTATTATTTATTATTACTGGTTTATTTACCTATAGTTTTCAAATAGGAAATGAAAACCAAAGTGAAATGATATTTCACTTATTATTTATTATTACTGGTTTATTTACCTATAGTTTTCAAATAGGAAATGAAAACCAAGGTGAAATGATAACTCAGGGCCTTGTTTGGGTGTGTGTGTGTGTGTGTGTGTGTGTGTGTGTGTTTTCAATATTAAGTTGGACCAACTAGTGTCCCATTTATTGGCTATTGAATTCAATAATTTTTAGATTAGATTTTCATTTCCTCTCATTTCTTTCTATGCCTTTTGCTCTTTAAAAACTAGATCTTGCTAGGCAGTGGTGGCACACAATTTTAATCCCAGCACTTTGAAGGCAGAGGCAGGCAGATCTCTGAGCCCAAAGCCAGCCTGACAAAGTGATTTCTGGGACAGTCAGTTCTACACAGAGAAACCCCTGTGTCAAAAAAACCAAAATCAAACAAAGAAAAAAACAAAAAACCTAGGTCTCTAAAAGTCCCCTTGATGCTGAAGAACTAGCACACATTTTTTGTGTGTGTGTGTACGCCATGTACTAAAATCATGACATTTGTTGTTCCCTTATCCCATTTTATTTAGTGGGAAATATCTATCTTCCATGTTATACAAAAATGCAAAAGTAAATGACCTCTCTGTTTACCCTTAGCTAATGACCCCATGACTACAGGTCCAGTTCCAGTTTGAGATGTTCCTTCCATCCTGACTGAAGAAGAGGCAGACAAATGCCCTGTCTTTTCTTTCTCCCCGTGGCCTCAAAGCCAATACCAAGATGAGGGCATGGTATCTCTGACTCGGGAAGGGACTTCTGGCGCTAGGAACAGGACTGGCTCCTGGGGACCAGACTCCCCCTTAAAGGAATCCACATCCTACAATGACCCCCTGGGCCTTTCTTGGACTTCTCACTGTGGGATCTCCTCTCCTTAGAGATGACCCTATTGGGTAGTTCACAGGACAGGTTCTCTCCATTGAGAACTTCATGGGCTACCCTGGACACTTCACCCCTCTTAGGTCTGGTTCATGAGGATAGACACTCCCCACACCCCTCTTGGGTCTAGTTCATGAGGACAGACAGACACTCCCCACACAGAGCCTTTCTCAGTGCCATTGGAGCCATGAGTCACCTGTCATGTCCACCAGGCTCTTGTGCAGGAAAATAGGACCCAAAGTCTGATTCGGCTCTGCTGAGGTCCCCTAAATACAGAAAGTATGTTCTCTCATGAAGGGAGGAAGGCAACACCCATCCCAAAAGAGACAGGAAGACATGTCTCTCAAAGACCCTTTAAACGGAGGCCAGACTCCTGTACAAACACCCACTCTCCTCTGTGGTGTTTGTGTGTGTATCTTTGCACTTGTGAGAGCCTGAGTGAGAAGGTAAGAGGGACGTGTGTCACTATAGCCACAACTGAGGGAGGCACAGCTTCCTGGTTCTGTGGCGTGTTGTCTCGTTATCCATTTTCATTTGTTAGCGTAAGCCTCATCGTGCTACTCAAGTTGTCAGAATAAACGACAGCAGCTCCTTCCTTCCGTTCTCACAGGGTGATGTGGAGCTCACTGGTCCTGGTGGTTATTTTCTGGTTGATCCTTGACACCGCCAGGCTGGGCAAGCAGCAGCTGGTGTCCTTTGGAGGACTCATACTGTACATCGTACTGTTGTTTCTCTTTTCCAAACATCCAACCAGAGTAAGTGCAGACTGGTCATGGGGAGAGTGGATGCGGAAGACTCCAAAGTAGTGACTGGGAAGGAATCTAACAATACAAATTTTTCTTCCCTCATGTGAGTCCTTAAGGTGGCCAGGGTGCTTGTCTGAGCTGTTTTATTTCCAGTAATTTCCAGCTACACAAGTGGAGCATTCCCTTACTGTTAAACACACAGGAAAAGTCATTCCCTTTGATCCATTTTATATTCAATCCTGCACTCCTTTAGTTTTGAAACGGGAATTTACATAACCCAGGCTAGCCCTAAACTCTCAAGGGTAACGTTGAGCTTCTGATCCTCCCGCTTCCTCAGTGCTGGAATTCAAAGCGGCTGCTACAGCGTCCAGTTCAGTACAGGGGTCTGGGGGTGGAATGGAAGGGTTAGCCTATGCTAACTAAGCCATCTGCCAACAGAGCTATGTCCCCAGCCTTCAATCCTGTGCTTTACAAAAGTTCTGTTTATGATTTGGGCTTTTTCATTCTCAAAAGTTTTCCTTACATACTCTTAACCTGTTGTATCTAATTCTCATCCCCCCCCCTTTTTTTAAAATCAGCCTACAGCCCATGAGATGGGTATGAATTCTAAGACTAAAAGCTTTTGCCTGCAAATCACAATGCAAGCTGCAGAAGTCCTTTCTGGCTAAAAGGATGACCCACAGAGAAAGCAGTCATCAGAGACCAAGTTGACCTAATACAACGAAAATTATTTGCCCTGCTCAGATGACCAACTCCATTCTCTGTGCCATCAGTCCCAAGTTTTTAGGTCACTCATTTCTGCTCTGAGATAAATGTAGATGACAGTCCATTTCTTGTCATCCTAGGTCTGCATTAGAGGCCATTGCTCCCTTTATTGTGGAACAAGAGTCTCTCAGCTGGGCCAAATTTCATCTAATTCACTTATAAATTGTCAGATAAACAAGCTTTGAACACAGAAAAATCAATTTCTACCTTTCCATTTTCCAAGTGGAGAAATAATTGTACATGTAACATTTACAATTTGTGTCTCAGACACGATGCTCTGTGTCCAAGTCATTTCTCAGGACTTCTTAGCTACAGACTTTCTCAGATTTTGCACCAAGGCTTATAAAGAGTGGATGCAGCCCTGATATTTGTACACATACATATATACATGCACACATACATACATGCATACATGCACACATACATATATACATGCATACATACTACAGAACAGTTTTATCTAAAGGTTCTCTGAAGTCTCTCTTGGTGTTGAGTGCTGGGTGAATGCAGACTTGCAGCTGCATGGCACTGTGAATAAGCCATGGCTGAGTGCCCAACTCTAAATAAGACATAAAATTATAACATCCCCTCCGAGGCTCAGGAGACACTGTGGAAGAGGGTGTAAGAAGAATGGAGGACCCAGAGATAGGGAGAAGGGCTTTGAAATGCCGTCCTATGCATGACACAACCATTGCGTTGAGTTTACTTGTACAGGGCCTATCTTAGTTTCATTTCTTGTTGCTTTGACAAAACACCCCAACAAAATTAACTTCAGGAAGAAAGGGGCTTTTTTTTGTTCACAATTCCATCATTGTGGGAAAATTAAAGTGGCAGGAACATGAAGCAGCTAGTCATATTATTCACAGTCAAGAGCAGAGAGCAATCAGTGGATCCATGCTTGAGCTCAGTTCCCTTCTCTACCCTTACACAGTTCAGGAGAGCCTGTGTAGGGAATGGTGCCACCCACGGTAGGCAAAATCTCCCCACTTCAATTAATGTAATAAAGATAGCCCCTAAAGAATACAGCCACCAGTCAACTTGTTCCTTCATTGAGACTCTTCCCAGATAGTTATATGTGTGTCAAATTCATGATTAAAACCAACAGTCACAGAATTATTATAGACTACTCATAAGTCCTGGCAGAGTCAAGGTCATTGTCCTCATTTGTGTGTCCACTGCTGAACCCAAGTTCATGGTCACACAGATGACCCCGTTTAAACTCAGTGAGTTATGAAACAAAGCAAATAGACAGGAGTGTGAGAAAGAGATCTATAAGGATAAGCAGGATAGACCAGGTGGGAGAGAGAGGCAAGGTTAGCGAGTGAGGTAACCAGCATGACTATGTGCGTGTATGAAAAGAACATATTTAACCAATTGGGAAAAGCCCTCTGCTCCTGGCTGTGTGGGCTCCCCCAGCCACATGCGAAAATGCTCCTAAGGGGACAGTGGCCTCTTGGATATCTACGTTGAGGTCACCATTAACTTCCTAAAAAGGTAACTACAAACAAAAGGGGTCTGTTGCCATTTCTGAAAGCTTGGTCTCTGAGTGCCCAATAGTTTGCTGTTCATTTATGCCTCATTACAATGGTGAAGTTAGCACAATATTTAACAAGCTCCATCTTTCTGTGCAGGTTTACTGGAGGCCTGTCTTTTGGGGAATTGGATTACAGTTTCTTCTTGGGCTCTTAATTCTGAGGACTAATCCTGGATTTATTGCTTTTGATTGGCTGGGAAGACAAGTTCAGGTGAGCAGTTCAAAATTCAGCTGGGTGAGCTGGAACAGGTCAGGAATTCAAATCCGGCCTTGACTACAAGGCAAGTGAGAAGCCAACCAGCCACACCTCTACACACTCACACACACACACACACTCACACACACACACACACACGCACACACAAATTCTTTGCATTCTTCTACTTTTAATATTTGGATGTAGCCCTCGGGATGTTTTTTAGTAGGTAATTTATCTGTAATATTATGCCCTTATTTTAATTTCATAGCACCAATTAGGCTTGCTGCTTGTGTCAAATATGTTCATCTATCTAGCTGATTAAGCCACTGTCCCCCACCTGTGTCATCTGTGATCAGGCCCTTATTCCTATTGGCCCATCATCCTGCCCTAGGGGTGCCACACTTCTGAGATAGTTCCCCAAAATAGAGAACAGGCCTTCCTCTGCATCTGGTGGTAACTAGGGTCATCCTCATATAGCACCCATGGCTTATGGGAGCCGATGAACCCAGTCAGAACAAGTCATTCATAACATTCACTGGAGGAGCAATGCTGAGAATATTAACTTTCCAAGTCTGCTTAGTGAGTTTGCTGGCCCTCATACATCCTCTGCAGGGAGTCAGGTTTGTCTGTAGCCTGTAGTACTGGTTCAACATTTTTCTCATTTACCTCTCTCTCTCGCTCTCTCTCTCTCTCTCTCTCTCTCTCTCTCTCTCTCTCAGACTTTTCTGGAGTACACTGATACTGGAGCTATGTTTGTCTTCGGTGAGAAGTACACAGACCACTTCTTCGCATTTAAGGTAATTTCAGACGCCTTTTTGTGCTTGCCTGTAAAAAGGAAAAAGAACACTAATGCTGAGACAAAATGTGTTTTTAGGGGCATTATTAATAGATTTTTCTAAATTAGATCTTGCACAAATTTTCCTGGCATCTGGCCTCTGACCAATTAGCTGTGTAACATTGGGGGAGGGGAAGGGAGGGTGGGCAGGGGCAGGCTCCAAGAAGGGAGCCATTACTTCTGTTATGGGCATTGATTTTAATGAGTTCTAATCTTTTTTCTTGATTTATTTCATTTAATGGGTATGAGTGTTTTGTTTGCATGTATGTATATACATAACATGCACACAGTGCCCACAGAGACCCAAAGTGGACATTAACTCTCATGGAACTGGAGTCACAGGCATTTGTAAGTTGCCATGTGGGTGCCAGGAACTGAAACTGTGTCCTCTGGAAGAGCAGCAAAAGCTCTTAACTACCGAGCCATCTCTCCAGCCCCTGACTTCCTCCAATTTTAATTACTTCCCAAAGATTCCATCCCAGACAGATACCCACTGGATTTAGGAGATATTTAAATATTCACCCCCATGGACTTTAGGAGACACACTCAAACCAGCTCATTAAAGAGTCGGAGGCTGTCGAGAGGGCAGCTGCTTGATGGAAGCAGTCTTCAGCTCAGAGGGACTTTGCTTCTATTACGATGCTTCTAGGGCCAAGAGGGAGGAGGGGAAGCCTATAGGAAACTCATGGTACTTTTGGCACTGACCGGTGACCTCGTTTGTGCCCCCACCCCATCCTTAGATCCTGCCGATCGTGGTTTTCTTCAGCACTGTGATGTCCGTGCTCTACTACGTGGGACTGATGCAATGGGTGATCCGAAAGGTACTGGACTAAGGCGCTTTGTAAAGACCCCCCTCTCTCTAGAACTCAGACTTTCTGTGTACCCTTGTCTGATGTAAAGTTAGTTTAGATCCAAAGTCCTAACCCTGTTATTCAGGTGCAGACAACTCTTCTGATTCTTTCTACAAAGACTCCTGGGCCTCCATCTAAGTTCCTAGATCCCATCACAATCCTTTGTGTGCCCATATCAAGGATTTTATCTCAGGAACCTTCAAATAGACTTCAACTTGCAACTCACTGGATGTCTCCATAAAACCACAGAAGTTGCTTCTGCAGCGAGGGAACAGAGGCCAGATCCCTGCCCAGGGAAGCAGCACTGCCGGTGCCTCGCAGTTCCTACATAGGTCCATAGTCACAGCTTCCCACTGATTGCTTCTGCAGCGAGGGAACAGAGGCCAGATCCCTGCCCAGGGAAGCAGTGCTGCCAGTGCCTCGCAGTTCCTACATAGGTCCATAGTCACAGCTTCCCACTGGGGTACCAAAGGTCCTCCAGGCCTTAAGGTGGTGCATAAATAGAAACAAAAATAAGCCGTTTTCTCTCTAGAGAGAGTTTTATAAGCATAGAATTTTTTCAAGCAAGTTAGTCATCTTCTTGATGCCCCAATAATCGAGTCCTCATTGTCATTACTACACAAGGGCTAGAGAGATGGCCCGATTGTTAAGAACATTTTCTGCTCTATCTGAGTTTGGTTCCCATCACTCACAACTAGGGGCTTACAATCAGCTCCACTGATCTCCTCTCCTGGCCTTTGTAGGCACCTACACACATATGGCCCACAGCCACACAAAAACATACACACATAAATAAAATAAGGAAGGGGTGTTAGGCAGAACAAAATGCTGGCCTTGTGCCTAGAAAGCAAAACAGAGCAAAACTCACCCAACTGAGTCTCCAAATGTCCTCATGGATTTACCCCTCCCATTAGGCTTTACCCCTTAAAGGCACCACTTCCTAGTAACACTGTGGCTGAGGACCAGACCTTTAATATGTAGACATTTGGGGGGCCTCTCTGGATCTAACTATCCCACAAAACCATTACAAAAGTGGAACCCCCCCAAAACATGTTCATTTGAATTAAGTAGGGAAACACCATAAGCCACACCCATCTTAGTATTTCCTGTGGGCTGGCTTTGAGCAACTGCTCTGTGCCTTAGTTTCCTCTTCTGTAATACAAGGAATAGCAGCGTCTGCTCCAAAGAGTCAAGAATAGATGGGTCTCAGGTCTGTGGCTCATAGTTGTTCTTAGACCACAGAAAAGCTTTCTGTCAGTGGAAGCAATTATTTATCCATTAATTTTATTTAACCTACAGAAACCATTTCTATACTGCTCAAAAGCAGATACAATGATTGAGACTCACGCATCACCAACCAGCCATCAGTCTTAACTAAGACACTGCCATCAGTGTCTTAACTAAGATTCAAGTTTTAGCTGACTGCTAAATCTTTGCTATATAAATAGTTCTTTGCTGACTTTGTCTTTTTCTTCCTTTTAGGTTGGATGGTTAATGCTTGTCACTATGGGGTCATCTCCCATTGAGTCTGTAGTTGCTGCTGGCAACATATTTGTTGGGCAAGTAAGTTGTAATAACAGAAACGAAGCAAAGCCAAGCAGTTGCTGATGGGAAGGCTCTCTTTCCAAACAGATGAAGATGAGCTCACGGGTGCATCATCTCTTTAGGGTAGAATGAAGAACATAAAATAAGAAATTCCTAATATTGCGTGCATGGGTGGGTGGGTGCGTGCATGGGTGGGTGCGTGCGATCCACAGATAGTGTGTGTGTGTGTGTGTGTGTGTGTGTGTGTGTGTGTGTGTGTGTGTGTGTGTGTAGAAAGGGAAAGGGAGGGAGATTATGTTAGTATGGAATTGAGTTATTGGAAGCTCAGAGAGAGAACAGAATTATTTTTATGAAATTATGGGGCTTCTCATGTACACATTCTCCACAAACTTTCACCCACTGAGGCCTTTGGTCAGCTCTGTAGAGGCTAGTAGCTATTCATCTCAGATGGATTTCACTGCCTTTGAACTGCAGATAGTGAACAGGGAACCTCACATTCTTCACTGCAATGCCTGTGACAATGAAGAAGACAGAAAAGCCAACTGCCAACAGTCTTATGGGAGCACGAACAGACCCCACATCCCCAGGTGTTCAGCCATCTACCACCACTGAGCCTGCAGAAAATACTTTCAGATTTTTTTTCTTCTCATCAAAGATAAACTTTTAGGCGACAATTCTCACGTCGCTAGCCCATCCGATGAACAAATACCCTTTTGCCCGAAGCCCATTTAAACAAAGAAATGTAATCCCTCAACATTGGAGCAACCCTAAGGAATGGGCATGTTAGGAATGGCGATGAGCTGTTCCACTCAGGATACATAGCTTGCGGGGGGAATGGAATCGTGCAGTGAGAATGTGGGAAAGCTGTCAGCAACACTGCCCAAAGAAAGTGGACTTGAAGCAAAAATCATGCCACAGAAAGACAGGTGGCCCCAAATCCCAGGCTTACACATGCTCCAGCAGGCTGAGCCTTCTTGGTAAGACTGGCTCACTAGCCTGAAGCAGTTTTTAGTGTGTGCAGTGGTAATGCTTCCTTCCCTAGGAGCTGAAATTATAATAATTACAGTCATAAAATCTCTCAGGACTAATTAGGGCATCATCTTGAGATGATTGCTAGTACCTATGGGGTAGAAGGTCTCACATACTGGGCTCCTATTTAGTCTATAAATTGAGACTCAACACATTCAATCTCACAGAACAGTTAGAACTAATGAGCAGAAAATTGTAAAATTGCACGCATGTGTCTGTGGTGCTCAATTTGATGGTTAATATGCCCAAAGTGCTGCTATTATTGATGGAAAGCTCCGAATTGCAGGCTGCCTACCCTCTGTAATGAGATTCAAGCCTGTTCTACTATACCCTGGCCTGTCAGTCTCAATTATGAAAGGGCCTATAGGTAGCCAGCCTATTCTTTTTTCTATAACGGTCTCTATTTCCACAAAACATGTGTGAGTCTTTCAAGATCAATCTGGAAGACAGAAAGTTGTAGTGGTTTGGGAATCCCAGTCTATAAGGCCAGACTACCAGGTGGAGTTACTTGGCCAGTCCTCAGGAAAGTGTCCCAAGTCCTCATAGCTTCCAGCCCAAAGCTGGGTGGAGGACTGTTTTAATCAACCCATGTATTACAAGATTTACCCAGGACTACATGTGCACACTGATGTGGAGTTCAAATGACCAGGACACCAATGGTGTGGGACATGCTAACATGCTGGAAGCACCTTGGGCACATATATTCTCTGTAGTAAGAATGACTGGAATATAATTAACTTACACAAAATTCCATCTCTTCCTTCCCATTGCTACTGCTTTTCTTCTTATTTCTAATCACCGTTCAAGGAGACCAGGAAACTGTTCCTTGTTAAAATTTGACAAAAGTTGCCCCAGTCACTTTGGCATTTGAATGAAGGGACCCCAAGAGGTCAAAGTGGAGACTGGGTGGAGGGGGGCACCCTTAGAGTTTCTGATTCCAGGTGGAGAATTTGCTTTTCCAGAGTTCCTGGTGACTGCTGGAGATGGTCTCGGAGTCTTTCTAACAACTACAACAGGGAATAAAAATGCTAAGCATCAAAAAGCTAACATTTAACATTTGTTTCCAGACAGAGTCTCCACTACTGGTCCAACCATATTTACCACATGTCACCAGGTCAGAACTCCATGCCATTATGACAGCTGGCTTTGCCACAATTGCTGGAAGCGTATTGGGTGCCTATATCTCCTTTGGGGTAAGAATGTTTGGAATATAATTAACTTAAGTACATTTGATCTCCCATTTCTTTTTTTTTTAAAGATTTTATTTTATTAAGTATACAATCTTCTGCCTGCCTGTGCCCTGCAGGCCAGAAGAGGGCACCAGATCTCATTCAAGGTGGCTGTGAGTCACCATGCTGGGAACTGAACTCAGGACCTCTGGAAGAGCAGTTAGTGCTCTTAACCTCTGAGCCATCTCTCCAGCTCCCTATCTCCCATTTCTTACTTACTGTTTTCTTTTTTCTTTCTTGTTGCTGATGGAAAATGACACCAAGAAAGTTCCCTTCTTGTTATGATGACATAGTGACCCCAAGGAGAATGAGGTCTAGACAGAAAAACAAAACCCAAAACCCATTACTGATATCTCAAAGATATCATTACTGATATCTCAACCTGTGGGTCCCAACTCCTTGGGGGTCTAATGATCCTTTCACAGGGGTCACCTAAGATCCTTGGAAAACACAGATATTTACATTACAATTCATAACAATAGCAAAATTATGGTTATGAAGTAGCAATGAAAATAATTTTATGGTTGGGAGTCACAACATAAGGAACTGTATTAAAGGGCTACAACATTAGGAAGGTTGTGAGAACCCTGATCTAAACTATAGCAAACTATATCCCATAAGCCAACTCTAGATCCTGCTAGATTTTTCTAGAAGGCTTTGTCAGAAACTAGATTCTCCTATTCCTTTTTTTTTTTCTTTTTTGTTTTTTTTGGTTTTTCGAAACAGGGTTTCTCTGTGTAGCTTTGGAGCCTATCCTGGCACTTGCTCTGGAGACCAGGCTGGCCTTGAACTCACAGAGATCCACCAGCCTCTGCCTCCCAAGTGCATTAAAGACATGTGCCACCAACTCCCGGCTCTAGATTCTCCTATTCTTTTGTTTTGTGTGGGTTGAATACTTTGACCATGAAAGCCCATTACACTGACCTGACCCTTGGGAAAGGACTTCTAATATAGAGTAGTGCTCTTAAACCTGATTCATTAGGGTCACTTGAAAATTTTTTAAAGGTCCTAATTGTCTAGCACACACCCATGAGTAATTAAATATGAATCTCTTAGAATGAGACCTAATCTTCAATATATATATATATTTTTTGACAAACCCGAATTCTAATGCAGAGCCCATTCTAAGAGCTGGTGGCCACTTTTTAAGACTGGGGAATGCTGTGACCCCATGTTGATAGAAACTAAGCAGGGAAACTAGCAATGCCATATGCGCTGGAATTTCTTCTAAGATATGTGAATTCATCCCAGAGCTTCACAACGGCCTGGGAGAACCCAGTAGTAGGAAAAGGGAAGAAAGAAACATGGCTGCTATGAGAATAAGCAGCCTATGAAGTTCACAAATGGGCGAGGCACTGTTTCTGGGACTCTGAAAATATAGTCAGGATTCTCTAAAGGAACAGAGCTGATAGAATGACGTGCGTGTGTGATTTATTAGAATGGCTTATAGGACATGGTCCGGGTAGCTCAATAATGGCTGTCTTACACTCAAGAGGCCACAACTACAAGATTAGTTGTCCAGTCCATGAGGCTGGCTGTATCAGCAGTCCCAAGATTGAAGACCTGGAGGGAACAGGAAGTAGTCTGAGAACTGGACAGTATCTTGAGCATATAAGAGACCTCAAAGTCCACCTCCACAGTGACCCACTTCTCCAACAAGACCACGCCTACTCCAACGAAGCCACACCTCCTAATAGTGCCACTCCCTATGGGGGCCATTTCCTTTCAAACCACTATATGCAGTCAAGCTGACAACCAAGATTAGCCCTCACAGTAGGGACAAAAATCCATAGCAGGAGGGCAGGAGAGAAGAAAATGAGGAAAGGGGAAACCATTTACACAACAAAGGGAGAAAGGGTGAGTTAAAGACAGAAAGGGTTTCAAGGAAGGGGAGTCAGGAAGAGTAGGGACTGTCGCTCTGCACTTGGCTGGAGGTCCTTTCTCCGTACCCCTCCCACTCCACATAACCCACCACCTGAACTGAGGCTGTGACAAAGCGGCCTGTCGGGACGAGCTGAGAGTTCAGAGACAACAGAGGAGCCAAGAAATCTCTGAGGGTTAATTCTCATCCCAAACAATCAGATTTAGGATCTGTGCTTTTCCCAGTGAGGTGTCAGGTGACACAAATCCCTGTCTTGTCCTCTGACTCCCAAGGCCCTAGGCATACTGGGAGTGGCGGTTCTTCCAGACCCCAGAAGGACTCAGCCTCTTCCTTCCCCACAGGTGTCATCCACACACTTGCTAACTGCCTCAGTCATGTCAGCACCGGCATCCCTGGCTGTGGCCAAACTCTTTTGGCCTGAAACAGAAAAACCCAAAATCACCCTCAAGAATGCCATGAAGATTGAGAGTGGGTAAGTCGACACACTACTAATTAATAATCATACAGGTCAGGGATACCAAAGTGGACTCTGATGACAGAAAGAAAGCACAGCCCATCTTGGCATTAGAATGGTATTGCACTTAACTTCCCAGTGACTTCTTAGAGTTGAAGAAACAGAACAAACTCCTCTTTCAATGCTCAGGAAAGCCTTTCTGAACATCTGCTTCCTAAGTGTCCATTATAAAAATGAACATGAACACGCTCCAGTGTTCACTGAGCCCCGCTTTAGCACTGTTGGGAAGTCATAGCAGATAACCATTTATTGAATGACTCTCAGCTTGTGTGGATTAGGGACATATGAAATATCAGTTAATAAGGTTTCATTTTAAGCCTTACCTTCCTCCCACAAGACTCCTTGTTATGGATAATGCAACTATGGCAAACACCAAAACAGGAACACTTTCGGTCTAGATAATTGGGGTGAGGGATAGCACCCCGAAGGTTCTACTTGGAGTCAAACCATGAAGTCTTGCTGTGTATCTTACATAAGACACAGCATGTTTGTGAATGGTAAAGAAGTGTGGTGGGGAATGGGTAGATTCCGGGGTAGACTTCTGAGATTACAGGGGTTAATGGGAGATCAGAGAAGAGACCACAGAGGGAGTCAATCTTTGGTGGAGGGGGCAGCTACTGTTGATAAATAGTTTTTAAACCTGTCTTTTATTGTCACTTCTTGGGTTTCTTCATGTAACCCTGGCTTGTTTGTCCCATAACTCGCTCTGTAGACCAGGCTGGCCCCCAGCTCACAGAGATCCACCTGCCTCTGCCTCCCAAGTGCAGGGATTAAAGTGATTCTATCTTAAATGAAGTGGCAATGAAATGGGCTTTCTTTCAGCTGCTAGTTTTTAGAGCCAGGCTATTTTATAAAATATTCCCTGGCAGCTACTGTTGATAAATAGTTTTTAAACCTGTCTTTTATTGTCACTTCTTGGGTTTTTTTTTTTTAAGTATAAATGCCCCAATTTAAAAAGCACTATTGGGTTAGGGGTGGGAATGGGTTTGGATACTTAGCATGTATGAAGCCCAGGATTCGATCTCCACCACCAAGGAAAAGGTAATGCAGACACGGAGTCCTATAAGAGGAAGATTACCATACACGGGATAGGGATGTCATACATTAATTTTATTGAAAAGAAATCACTTACATGAGAAACTGATAACCCAGTGTCAGCACTCTGAGCATCCCGACTGCTCTCGGAGACCTGCCTCTCCTCAGGCTTCTATCCCACACCCCTTATGTACCTGTGGCCACACCCAAACAGGTACCTAGTAAGATCTCTCCCTACAGAGTCCCAAATCCCCGCCAACAATGCTCAGCCTCATAATGACTCTGACACTGTAAGAGACTGAGCACTTTGACCAAGGTGTCTAAGGGTCATCTCAAGCGCGGCAACTATGGTGGGATCGTTGCTGTGCTGAAGCATCTACCCAGAGACACTCAGCTCACAGAGATCTGCCTGCCTCTGCCTCCCAAGTGCAGGGATTAAAGGGATTCTATCTTAAATGAAGTGGCAATGAAATGGGCTTTCTTTCAGCTACTAGTTTTTAGAGCCAGGCTATTTTATAAATATTCCCTGGCAGCTACTGTTGATAAATAGTTTTTAAACCTGTCTTTTATTGTCACTTCTTGGGTTTTTTTTTTTTAAGTATAAATGCCCCAATTTAAAAAGCACTATTGGGTTAGGGGTGGGAATGGGTTTGGATACTTAGCATGTATGAAGCCCAGGATTCGATCTCCACCACCAAGGAAAAGGTAATGCAGACACGGAGTCCTATAAGAGGAAGATTACCATACATGGGATAGGGATGTCATACGTTAATTTTATTGAAAAGAAATCACTTACATGAGAAACTGATAACCCAGGGTCAGCACTCTGAGCATCCCGACTGCTCTCCGAGAGCTGCCTCTCCTCAGGCTTCTATCCCATGCCCCGTATAAGATCTCTCCCTACAGAGTCCCACATCCCCGCCAACAATGCTCAGCCTCATGATGACTCTGACACTGTAAGAGACTGAGCACTTTGACCAAGGTGTCTAAGGGTCACCTCGTGCGCGGCAACTACGGTGGGATCGTTGCTGTGCTGAAGCATCTACCAGAGACACACTGTGGTAATTTTGGAATTCTCATTTCTTGATGAAGTGATTCAAGAAATCTCCTGGAGGCAGCAACACAGGGTGCATCCTCGTCCATCCCCCTGGTAGCAAACATTGCGGTGAATCTGATCGCCTTCCTGGCCTTATTGTCTTTTGTGAACTCAGCCCTGTCCTGGTTCGGAAACATGCTTGACTACCCACAGTTGAGTTTTGAGGTATGACTGTCATGTTTTGTTTAAATATGGCCATCTCTGTTTAAAAGTAAGTTTAAAAGCCAGGTATGGTAGCTCATGTCTTTAATCCCATCACTTAGGCGGCCAAGATAGGAGGCTTGCCATGAGTTCAAGGCCACCATGGGCTACAGAGTAAGACCTTGGGGTTCTGACAGGGTACGCCCTCAGCTGCAGCCACTAAGAGCACCACCTGTGCACATTCACTACGTTCCCTTTTAAAAGGGCCCCGCCCACCTCCCATCTCTCCCTCTCCCCCCTCCCCTTTTCCTCTTCCTCTTCCTTTTCCTCTCCCCAGAGGCTGGTCTCCTCCCTCCCCTCCCCCCTTCTCCCATTCACTTTCCCCTAATAAAAAACCCCTCCACCCAAGCTCTGTCACATGACATCTTTCTCTGGAACCACTTTTTAAAATTACAACACATAGTCCCAGAAAACAAATCATGTAGCAACCTTTCCTAACCAACTATGTTGTGCTCTCTCATACACTATAGACATCTCTCAGTCACCCCCATCGTCCCGTCCCTGTGTTGTCTTCTGTCACCCCCTGTCCCCCAGAGCAGTCATTTTCTCCTGGTCTCCTAGTCACCCCACCATCCCACTCCTCCATTGTCTTCCCCTTCTCTGCTGACCTCTTCCCAAGGATACATGCTATTTCCAATGATCCAATTCCTGCTTTAGTCTGCTTTCTATGCTACAACAGAACACTTGGTCGGGAAGCTTATAAAGAAAACAGGTTTGTTTAGCTTGCCATTCTGAAAGCCATGAAAGTCCACCATTAGGGGATTATATCTGGCGAGGATCACATGCAGACCCACGTATGACATTCAAATTGAAGGAACCAAGGAGCTGACCCCTCTTTAAACAAATACTCTCTCACATTCACTTTCCCCTAATAAAAAACCCCTCCACCCAAGCTCTGTCACATGGCATCTTTCTCTGGAACCACTTTTTAAAATTACAACACATAGTCCCAGAACACAAATCATGTAGCAACCTTTCCGAACCAACTATGTTGTGCTCTCTCATACACTATAGACATCTCTCAGTCATCCCCATCCTCTCATCCCTGTGTTGTCTTCTGTCACCCTCTGTCCCCCAGAGCAGTCATTTTCTCCTGGTCTCTCAGTCACCCCACCATCCCACTCATCCGTTGTCTTCCCCCACTCTTTCTCTGCTGACCTCTTCCCAAGGATACATGCTATTTCCAATGA